GAGATATGAATAAATTACTAATTGGTTAAAATAGGAAAAAAATTAAAAAGGAATATTAAGAACCCAAGCAAGACAAGAACCATATTTCCAAACTTGCTCTCTGTCCCCAAATGGTTTCTCCACCTGGGAGGAAAACGTAACTGTCACATCAGTACCTCCTTTACAAGCTGCTAGGGAGATGGAGGACAGAGCAAATGCACGACGAGCGACGTTCTCCCCTGCTTCAGAAACTAGCTTTTCTGGGTAGCTTCCTAGCATGATCTGTCTCTTCCGGATTCCGCTTTGTCTGCAATCGTTATGATAGCTCCAAGGGTCAGCTGTTCAATGCTCGAGCATCTCAGTGGGCTCCAGACAGACCGCTCACAAGAAGCAGATGCAAACTACCCTCCGCTCAGTCTTAACCCACTGTAGTGAGAGAGCTTGTGAGTCAAGTTAATGAAAACTCACTTCTTCAAGGTAGGTTAAGATATATTTCAAAATTTTTTGCGCTCTAAAGCAGAGTCATCCTTCACCCTGCATACCTGATTCCCTTAGGTTAGGTCTTAAAGTTCAATTAACTATTTTCTGTAACACGTGAAACGGGAGGAAATTCCGATTATGTAACTCTGTCTTAAATGTAGAGGAAACATCACCCAGATGCACGCTGTGAAAAGAACTGCATTCATCACTTTGAAACTGCAGCCCATCCAATCCAATCATAAGAGCAAGGACTTTTTAGAAGGTAAAATTAAATACAGTGGAGAGGCTGAAGGGAACACGAGCGCTGAGTCCTGGCCTGTCTCTGATACCGTTACTGATAGGGGCCACTAGGCTACACTGCTTTAAGCTTGTGGTTCCTAATCTGTAAAACGGGAAAGTGGAAACGATCGTAGTGTCTCCTCTGCCTGCTTGGAAGGCAGCTGTGTCTTCTAAGATGGAGTGACACCTGGGCTACAAAGGGCTTGACAAAGGTTAAAAGGCTACAGTGATGAGCGCCGCGACTACCTTCTGAACCACCAGGGCTCCCGGCGTTTCTGACAAAGGCCCAGGCTTCCTCCTCGGTGGCAAACTTCTTAAACCTGGCAGCAGGAAACCGGTCCACCTGTGCTCTGCATTCGTCCCTGCAATAGAGTGCAATGTTACGCCTTCCTGCCGCGCCCTTTCCTTGTCCTCTTGCTAAGTGTCTCTTTTCCTAGGATGGGAACAGTGGGAAAGCCAGGTGCTTGGCAGCAAAGGGTCACGCCTTACTGCTCGTGGCTTCATCTCGCAGGTCCAGCCCTGCAACCTGGGTCACGCTACGTGCCGCCGGGCAACGCACCAGCACCAAAGGCTGTCCACCATCTCGGGCATGCTACAATGACGGGTCTCGGCTAAAACAACGCTAGCCACCATTCCCGGGGAGGCGCGGCCCGCTCACCAGCTCAAAAACACCCCGGCCTTGCGGCCTCTCCTCACGGCGTAGAACATGCCGGGCCCCCCGCAGCCGAGGCTGCTGCAGCGCACGGCGGCCAAGGCGACTCTGTGTGCCGCGCCCAGAAGCCTGGTCATCGTTCAGTGGCAGGCGCCCGGGCGCATCTCGCCTCCCGACTCCGCGCCGCCATCACAGGGACCAAACTTCCGGAAGTGGCGCCGGGAGGCGGCGCACGTCCGGGAGGGGCGTTGCCTGTGGGCGGGGCCTAAAGCCCGTGCTCTTCAGGCTCATCAATTTCCCGAACGTCACTGAGAAAGTGGAGCCTGGGCGGAGGCTCCGGGGTAGGGCGGGGCCTGGAGTGGGGTGGGGCCTGTGCGAGGGGCGCGAGGTGGGCCTGGGAGAGGGGGGGG